ATCTTACTTATATTAACTCTTCTTATTTTATGATTTAAATTTTTAATGTTAATATGCTACTTCTTACTTTAAACAATTTATTACTTTTGTCATATTAAGATGCTAATATGTTACATTTTAGCCTATTAATAAGTTAATATGTTAATATATTACTTCTACTACATACTTTGAATTTAATACAATGCTCTTTGCTTTTCATAATTTTTAATTTTTAGGTTTGTGCCTCGTTACTTGTACAAAAAACATCTCAAGATCTAATTGAGCAATGCTAAACTTGACAGTTGTTGGCAATTTTACTTGCTAACTTGATAGTATGAGTTCACAAGAGTACCATCAGCATAAAAGGCATTGGTTCCGTGAAGTAATCTGTATGTTTTTTTTTTGGTTCAGTGAAGCAATAATGGATAGCTTTTTCATTTAATTCTTGAAAGACTAGTTCTTGTTAGCATGTTTACATGGAAAATTATGTGGCTTCACAAGAATACAACTATTATAATCAGAAAATCAATACACATGATTTTTTATGTTCAATAAAACAAGACCTTTATAATGAGTAATCTTCCTTTGTAATTGTATAATTGTTGCAAAGCCAAGAAGCATTTTAATTCTCTTATTTGAATGTTTTTTTTTTATTACTGACATCTTGAAAGTAAAAACCGTGGAAGTTCTTCCAGTGAGACTTAGGAGGCTGAAAGCAGAAAGTATTTTACCCACGGCACAACACTGCTAAAACTTGTTTGTGATTAATCCATTTAAAGATAATGATCTTTTTAATTCATTTGTGTATTTTTATGCCTGTAAAGCTTGTGTCAACTCTTCTATTGGTATGTGTGCATTAGCTAGTTAAATGAGATAGTGATTCGAGCCAATGCTATTATTTGATTTAAGTCAATTTGATATTGTTTATAATTTTTTCCTTGTAAAACTTATTAAGTTTCTGTTGTTAGTTTTCCTTTCTTTTTTTAGTACTTGACAAGATAAACATCATAAATCTTGATGAATTTATCACAATAACACATTTATGGGCTTTTATGGATTATGTATTGACAAAGATGTAGATACGTACAAACATGTACGTGCTTGAACATGCATATATGCATGCATATATCTTGTTAGGCCAAGTTTCCTACTTGTAAATAGACTGAACCAATGGAATTTTACATGGACGATAAATTGTATGGATTTCTTTCAGTTTATAATTGTTCGGCTGTCTCTGTTGTGATGTGCCTTAGTTTTGCAACTTTAAAATTTTCTCCACAATTAAGGCTCTTGCATTTATAGTTTAGATTTTCGAAGTAAGTTTTCTTATCTTCACCCCCTCTTTGCTACCTTTCTCGCAGCCCTTGGCTTTATTATTATGGTATGTTGCGAATCATGTTTCTAATATGAAGAAAAAACCAATCAGGTTTCCTTATTCTTGATATCTTTTTACTCCTTATATAGCGACCATTTTCTTATGTATTTATATTCATATAAGATTATTTCTATGTTTAGATTTTCTTTAGCTTTCTGTACCTCTATGACACCTGCATATTCTGCTAGTAACTTCTTTCTAAAATAGTCTGTCTTGTCTCCTCTCCCTTTTACATATCTTTCA